TGATTCAGCAATACTGTTTTTTTAAGATTTTGGAGCATTATTTCTGTTTGGTCACTGTAAGTAGCCATTTGGATAGTTTTTAATGTTGGTCATAGGAGCCTCTTTTTAAAATGTAGTTTCTGATTCAGGATACCTGAGGTGAAAAGGAAAGTTCTCAGCAAGGGGTCAGACTGGAATGAACTGGTTGAAATCCCTGCCCAGAATGTCCACATCCTAAAAGGCCCTTTGTGACTGTTCCTGTGCATTTGAAAGGAGTGATGTCCAATGACAGGATTGCAGAGCTTGACCATAATTAGGGTAGCCACAGAGCTCTTTTTTCCAAACTAGGGCCCAGGAGAGAAAAGAGAGGTAGATAATCCTCCACAGAGAAACAGCATCGCACAGCGTCCCAGGAAGCCCATATTGTCCAACCCAGCAGTAATGAGCTCATTAATAATAAGTGTGCTATAAGTTTCCTGTCAGCAGACAGCAAGGGGCTGACACTGTGAAACACATTGTCTACTTTCCATGGTCCAGAACAACAAGCATGCTCTCATGCTCACAGATTCTCTGTCTAGAATTCAAGTAGGACACAAGGTTGTCTCTGATCAGAGAGCCCTTAGCTGGTCAACCTGGAAAGCCGGTTTCACCTGATGGTGGGCTGGGTCTTCTGGAGGCTTGCACATCCACATATCTGGCATCAATGCAGTCATAGATCTCCCACCAGCACCATGTAGCTGCTTCCTTACAGCCTGCTGGCTGGGCTCTAAGAATACCAGTCCCCAGGTCAGCTGGGAGCTTTGTCAACTTTGATGGCCTGGCCATGGAAGCTACACAATGTCACTTTGACCCTCCAGCTCCAACTCAAAAGGAACAAAGACCCTCTCATTTGATGGGGAGGAGGGAGTGCCAGATTCTGGTCACAAGAAGAGTACATGTGTGGGCATGCCAGGAAAGGCAAGCTGCCACATACTTTGAGTATGTCCCTCCTTTCTCTACTGTCCTTTCTTATCCAGGTTGCCTAACATCAAGACCCCATATAATCAGAGAGAGACTCAACATTGACAATTGGGATCACACACCACACAGCCCCCTGTCTGCACCACTTTAGTGTAGATGCCTTCAGAGGCACTGGCTGACAAGGTTTCCCGATTTCTCGAGTACCCTAGAAGAGTGGCCTCAGTCTCAGGGGCTGGAAGGGATCATTTAGTCTCCTCTTCCATGTGTGTTCATGCAGCCAGATTATTACACCTGTTGTTCAGGAAAGAGTTCTGATGGAGGCCCCTGCCTCTTATAGGGGAATGAGCACCTGCCTCAAATAGGAAGATGTGGAAGCTGAGTGTTTGGTGAGCATCTACCTTGTATAGGATGATGTGGGTGCTGGGTATTTAGTAAGCACCTCCCTCATGTGAGGTGATGTAAGTCCTCAGTTTTTCGTGAGCACCTACCTTGTGTGCAGTGATGTGGGAGCTAGCTGGGTGTTAGTTAAGCACTTGAATTGAGTGAGGTGAGTGGACCATTGATGTTTGGTGAAAACCTGGCTTGTGTGGAGTAGTGTGGAGTGTTCAGTGAGCCATTGGTTAGCAGGGGCTCAGTACTCAGGACAGAGCCCAGCTCAGCCTCAAGTCTTGTGTGCTTTGCCTGTGAGATGTGTCTGCTTAATGTTTGGAGAGAGGCTGCCAGGCGTCATCCCTTGGGTCATGGCATCTAGGCAAGTTCCCTGTCGGGAAGGAAAGTTTACTTATGGTGTGCCTGTCATACCCTCTGGCCGCAGACAGCTCTCTTTAAGACAAAGGTGAAGCACACCCATGGAGGGCCCTCTCCTATACTCGTGGACTATAGCTGTGATTGGGGTGAGTCCAGCCTCAGAAGACTGGCAGCCTCAGAAGCCCCTTTTACTCACCCTATCCTCTTTCTTGGGGTTGCACCCCACACAGCATTCTCTGCTCTCCAGAAGCACAGGGCTGTAGGAAGTGGCTGTGCTGGACCCCTCATGTGGGAAACAGCCTAAACTAGCAAATATCCCAGAGCAGCAGCCAGCACAACACTGGGAGCCTGGGTGCTGGGCCCCATCTTTCACCTCCTGGCAGCTGCTTATGAACTCTTGCTCCTGAGGCTCCGGGGATGGGGTGTGTGTGTGTGTGTGTGTGTGTGTGTGTGTGTGTGTGTGTGTGTAAGTTAAGCTTCTTTATCTTCATGTTTGGGAATACTTAATTGAGACAGAGGCTCTGTCTTACTGCTTTTAGTTAGCATTATTCCTTCTTAACCCTTGAAAGCCAGTGTAAATAAGACAGGAGCCCTGTGGCACAGGGCTCAAGCTCATGGCCGTTCACTGTAGGGTTTGGGTTCAGAATCAGCCCGTGGCTCCACAGGAGAAAAGCCTGGTGACTTGCTTTGGTTGAGACTACCGTGGACCATATTGATTTCAGCTGAAGTGACCCTTCACGGCAGAACAAAGCCAGACAGTTGTGCTCTGGCCAGAGAGCTGATGCAGCCAACAGCCCAAGACATGAGTGTGGGCCGGAGCAGACCTGAGGAATCCTTACCACCAACATACAGAAATGCAATTCAAGAGCCCCATCAAGTAGCAGCTGTTTTCAGAGGGTTTCCTGGGAGATGTGTAAATGGTGCTGAAGTGTTAGCTCAGGAAGCACTGTAAGTGCAGCATGCAAGTTAGTAATTTTTGTTGAAATAGAGAAAAAAAGGAGGACATGGCTCTAGAAGGGGAGGGAGGAAGGAGCATGAGGTGAGGAGGGACAAAGACAGGAACAGGTGTGTGCTAGGGTGACCTGATGCACGGGGAAGTTGTCCCATGTCCACTCCAGGGCTGTGGCCCCTCCTGACAGGTGGTTAGGATTCTGTTTTGCGTCCCTTGCTCCAAAACTAGCCGTGCTGCTGCTTTCAGAGCAGTGACAAGGCCTGGATATAGTGGGGTTCACACTGCTCATGCCTCAAGGTGTGACAAGGCTGGACTAACCACGCCATTTCCACACTAGTGGCTCCGGTGAGTCCCAATAGGGACTCAGGACTACTCCATGCTTGATCCGTCAATATTAGACTTCCTCTATCCTCTTGCCAGACTGAGGTGAAAACAGACAAGACCCAGATGTTCATCTTTGTTCCTTTGGCCTAGGTTTGGTCAGCAAAGTGATATGTTTAGAATATCAGAGTGGTACAAATTCTGGACTTGTGTTTTCTCTAAATGTGTGAAACTGTACTTGAAAAGATTTGAACAGCCATGTCAGGAAATCAGATATAGGAGTGGCAAGTCAGCACATAAAAAATCTGCCCAACACACTGGGAAATGCAAACACAACATGGACACATTCCCAATCTATTAGAATGTCTCTCTAAACTTAAGATGGTGCCTACAACTTCTGGTGAGAACGTGAAGTGACAGATTCACACGTTCCTGGTGAGAACATAAAGTGATAAAACAGGCTGGTGATTTCCAGTAAGAATTAACACAGACACTTACTTCTGGAACTTTATATATGACAGGTTTGGAAGCAGGAGTAGCAGGAATAACATTCCACTCCCTAAATAACATGCCTCCGGAAACTCTATGAACTTTGATAAATGTCAATAGTTGTAGAGGGGCTTCAGACCTTTTGTTCATAAGGTCACTATGAGTCATGCTCAACTCAAAGGCAATCAACAACATATATATAGATAATGTATTAGTACAATGGACTACTATTCAGTAATGAAATGTTTGACACAATAGCATGAATGAACTTTAAAATAATTATGCTGAATAAAAGCATCCAGGGGAAAAGAAAAGTACAAAGTGCATTATTCCATTTATGTAAAATTCTGAAAATGTGAACTAATCTACAGGGACAGCAGCCAGAAGAGTGACTGCTTGGAGATGAAAAGAGTGACAGGAAGGCAGACAAGAGGAGGGACACAGACAGGAAACGGTGGCATGAGGAATGGCGATCAGAATGATGGCTCCCAGTGTATATAAATCAAAATATGCAAAATGGAATACGTGCTTGCTTATTCTATGTCCTGTGTGCATCAGTTCATCTCAGATGCCTTTCTTTTAGACTTGAAAAACACAATTTCTGAAACTAAAAGCTCTCTAGTGGGTTTGGGAGGAGCCTGAATGGGGATGTGGAGAAGGCCAGGGGACTAAAAGACAAATAGAAGGAAAAATGGAGAAAAGGGGTAAAAGCACAGAGTTAAAAGAAAAACAGGGCTGGATGGAGGGAAAGAGATCATGAATGGGGCAGAGGGAAGTATTTGAAGAATTTTTCTAATACAGAAGAAGGCAGAAAATGTTGTGAGTAGGGGTAATGCAAAGGGTAACGCCTGCCAGACCCCATAGCAGTAAAACTAGGAAACACAAGAGAAAAAAGCAAAACTAAGACATTGAGTCAGAAGGGCCTTTAGAGGCTGTGAGCCAAACTGGTCTCGGAGCTTGCCTGTCCTACTGCTGCAGAGCAGCTGGCAGATTCAAACCTCCAAGTCAGAAAGACACTAGGCCACCAGAGCTCCCTGAAAAGCAAAAGAGAATCTCAATGGCAGTCAGAAAGTCAAGCTGCTTTCAAGAGAGCAACAGAAAGATAGGAGGCTTAACTGAGGAAGAGGAGGGTAGGTTGGGAAGCCAAAAGACTCTTGAAGAGCCTTTAGGGTGAGGTGAAAAAACAGCCACTAACCAACTCTGTACTCAGTGTACATGCCCTTCTAGCGCAAAATAAAAGAAACATGTCCACAACATTGATTGCATTGTCACCAACAGACTGGCTCTAAAGGAAGGTCTGGTATGGAGACAGCCAGACTGCTTGAGAGGAAGCCGTGGGTTCCAGAGAAGCATGGCCAGCACAGGAGGTCCTCCATGGTTCTGCTGGGACAGCAGCCACCCTGCCCACAGTTGTGCACCCACTCATGTAACCATACAAGCTTGCTCCCTCCAGCTCCCAGGTTCTGCAAGCCCCTCTGTGCCCGCTGTGTGTGCACATGTATGCTCTACCGCACACTGCCTCCTCACGTAGTGTGTTTGCATTGTCTTACAGATTATCGGCTGCCAGGTGATGAGAGAACCCCCCGACTCCACTGAAAGGTACACGCGCTGGATCAACCAGCTGTCCCCTGACCAGCTTATCACCCAGGTGTGTCCTGTCCCTCCTGCACCCACCTCACCACCCCAGGGCTGTGGCCCCTCCTGACAGGGGGTAGGATTCTGCTTTGGGTCCCTTGCTTCAAAACTAGCCATGCTGCTGCTTTCAGAGCAGTGACGAGGCCTGGATATAGTGGGGTTCACACTGCTCATGCCCCAAGGCTGGAGTAACCAGACCATTTCCACACTAGTGGCTCCAGTGAATCTCAATAGGACTGCTCCATGCTTGATCTGTCAATATTAGACTTCCTCTACCCTCTTGCCAGTCTGAGGTGAAAACGGACAAGACCCACACATTCATCTTTGAACATTCATCTTTACTTGGCTGTGAGGGTATTTTGGGGAGCACCCAGCACAAGTCTTCACGTGCACACAGTACATTGCTCTGCGTCCGCTGGTCCAGGCTGGTTCCCTTAGGGACCCAAACTCTAAGCAGAATCTCCTGGGGTAGCAAGTAGACGTATTTGTGAGTGTCCACAGACATCCATCTGGGACAGTCTTCTGTAGGAAGGATTTTTCTGGGTCTTGTGCAGTAGTGTCCTAGGCTGAGTATCCTAGAGAAGCAAATCTAGAGAAATTCCTATACGGTGAGAGTTTGTAGCAGCTGTAGTCCCACACTGTAGGATGCCAGGCTTTTCCTGATTCATACAGCCGTCGGGCTGAGGATTCAGCATCAGCAAGTCAGACACAGGGTAGCGAGACTAATGAGTCCAAGATTGGCCGGCAGCTTGGCAGCTTGCTGGTTCAAGTCCAAGAGCGCAAGGTCAGATGATGACCATCCAGATGCAGAATCCAGGTCAAGCGGACAGCAGTGGTAATGGGATCATAGTGATTCACAGATGTGAATTCACAGATGTGCCCACTGGGTGTTGGCAGTTAGGAGGAACAGGGTGGCTTCGTGGCGTCCTCAAGTTCTGTCCTTGGAGAAACAGCCTTGGCTGCCGAGCCAGTACCTACACAAGGTTATCCCCAATGTTATGGGCCACTCAAGGACACAGGCCTGTCATAGACACAGACTCCTCAAAGATGGGGGCACCCAGTGACACAGTCCTGTCCTAGACATGAACCCCTCATGACACAGATACCTCAGCACCCCTCAGGAACATGACCCTCACAGATACCCTCAGGAACTGGTCCCTTCAGAGACACAATGGATCCTCATGGACTCTCTGAGGGACAAGGTCCCCTCAGGGACATAGACAGACCCTCATGGACTCCCTCAGTGACACAGACCTTCGGGGGCCCATCAGGGCAAGGACTCCTTAGGGACAGAGACAGACCCTCATGGGCTTCCCCCTCAGTACAGGGTCTCCTCAGGGATATAGTAGACCCTCTTTGATGCCCTCATCGGGAACAGAGTATCCTCCAAGACAAGGTCTCCCCAGTGACACAATCAGACCCTCACGGACACCCCTCAAGGACAAGATCCTCTCAAATGGCACAATCCTCAGAGGTCCTTCAGGATGGTTACCACCACCCCTCCACTGTCTGCCCCTCCACTTGCCCCTACTCTCTCCACCCTATGGGGTATGTCCTCTCAAAGAAGGAGCCCTTTGTTGGCATGAGGAAGAGGCCCAAGGATGTGTGGTGCTGTTCAAGGGGTCTAAGCTCCCAACCACAGTCAGAAACTGCCTCTCCATGAGGGCAGGAGGCATCTGAAGGAGACCACACAACCACTGTGGTTATTAGGCTGCATTTGAACCAATGTGGGAGGCTAAGGGCTGCTCAGGTGTGCATACAACCTCCTGTCTTCTGGATGATCCTTCTTGCTCTTTGTTACACCTTGAGTTCAAGTCCAGCCGCTGCTGTATAGGAGAGAGAGGTGGTCTGCTCCCTGAGGGCCAGGTGTGGATGCCCAGGGCAGTTCTGCTCTCCCAGTGCCACTGTATTTGGAATACTGGTGATGCACCCTGTGTCCCATCTCATCAGCATACAGAACTGTGCAGTGGAGTGCGTTGCCCCTCCTCACATGCGTGCAAATGCTGGTGCCATCGGTGGTTCTCCAACTCTTCCCTGTGTCTCTCTGTGGGTGGATGCTGCCTTTCCACAGATGCTCAGCTCTGGGATGACCAATGTGGCAGGCTGGGGGAAGGGAGAATGTGTGTATGGTGAGCTGTGACTGACTTTTGTTGGGACGCTGTACAGTGAAAGGGGGATGGCTACTGTGGTGGGGCAGCCAGTGTAGAGGGAACAGCAAGTGTTAGTGGAGTGGCTAGCGTAGGGGGGATAGCCAGTGTAGTGGGGATGGCCATTGTAAGGGGAACAGCCAGTATGGCCAGTGTAGACTAGCCACTGTGGTAAGGACAATTAAGAGTAGAAGGGATGTCTAAAATGGGAGAGGATGGTCAGTGGTGGGTGGGACAGCCAGCATAGGATGATGACCAGTGTAGGGAGGAGCATGTGCACAGTGAGCTATGACTGTCTCCCATCAGAGCAGTCTTTGTGTGGATGGGATGGCCACTGTATAGGAGATGGCCAGTGAGGGGGATGTGTGCACACTGAGCTTTGACTGCCCTGCTAGACCTGAGTGGGAAGGACCTATGCAGGGTGTGGAGCCATAACTGCCCACATAGGGATGGCCAGTGTGGGAGGCAGGCAGCATAAGAGGGCCATTCTGGGCACTGTGAGCTCTAACTGCTGAGCTGGCGTTTCTACAGTGTTTTTGATTTTCTGGTAGGAATATGAGTCATGTGGAAACTATGCAACTAAACACTGAGAATACAATTTTAAGTCTGTTTTGGTGGAGTACACACATTTCCAACCAGGAATACACCTTTCAAGTAAAGGGTTAATAGGGATGTTTATCTGTTAATTGTATGGAAGTAATTAAGGTGGCTTTCTCTGAAGCATTATTTGTCTTAAGCAAGTCAGAGAACATCAGAGTCCCTTCTTTTTTTTATTTTATGCTAATTTATTTACAAAGTTTGAATACATTGTTTTTCACATGAGGTCTTTCCATTTCCTTCACCCACTTCCATCAAATTGTGTGACCTTGTGATTAACACACCCTTCCCTGCCCATACTCACCCCTCTGCTTCCACTCTTGAATCCTCATACTCCTATAATAATGATTTTATACAGTATTTGTCCTTATGGGACGGAGTTCGTTCACTCAGCATAATACTCTCCAGTCCATCCCAAGTTAGGTAGTGTTTTACAAAACCATTGCTCCTGCATGCTGCATAGTAATTATTCCATCATGTGAATGTACCATAATTTCCCAATCTATTAGATGGTGGTTGGACATTTGAACTGTTTCCATATTCTTGTGATGGTGAATAACACTGATATGAACATTGGTGTACAAATCTCAGTTTGTGCCTCAGTTCTCATTTTCTTGGCGTATATTCCAAGTCGTCGAATAGCTGGGTCATATGGAATTTCTACGTTCAGCTTTTTAAGGAAACACCAACCTTCCTTCCATTTTATGATCCCAACAACAATGTATAAGAGTTCCTATCTCTCCACATCCTCTCCAACATGTATTACTTGTTGTCCTGTTAAACTTTGCCACTACTACTGGAGTGAGATGGTATCTCATTGTGGTTTTGATTTGCATCTCTCATTGCCAGTGATTTGGAGCATTTCTTCATGTATCTGTTTGCCATTCAAATATCTTTTTCTTGGAAATTCTTTCCATGTCTTTTGCCCATTTTTTAATTGTATTATCAGTCTTTTTCTTGTGGAAGCCCAGAAGTATTCTATAAACTTTGATTAGAGACTCGTGTCTGAGATGGTATTGTGAAATGTTTGTTCCCAGTTGGTACGTTTTCTTTTCACCCTGTTGGAAATAGGTGCATAAGGATTTAATCTTTAGAAGGTCCCATTCATTAATTTTATCCTCTTCAGGCTGTGCATTTCCGGCTGTATTTGGAAGTCTTTTTATACCATAGACCAGGCCTTCTAAGCTTGATCCCACCTTGTCTCTTAAGAATTTTATGGTTTTGGTCTCTTGAAAGAGAGATCACCTTGATCGATCCACCTTGAGTTGATTTTTGTGTATGGTGTGAGATGTGGATCCTGTTTCAGCTTTCTGCAGGTAACAGTCCAGTTTTGCCAGCACCATTTGTTGGAGAGGCTATCATTTCCCCATTCGATAGGTTTTATTTTCTTGTCGAATGTCAGGTGACCATAGATAGCTGGGTCTGTTTCTGGACTCGCAGTTTGGTTTCATTGGTCTGTGTGCCTGTCATTGTACCAGTACCATGCTGTTTTGTTTACTACTTCTGTGTAATAGATTTTGAGGTCAGCAAGTGCTATGCCTCCCACTTCATTTTTTTTCCTCAGAAGTGTTTTGTTTATTTGGGGTCTCTTTTCTCTCCAAATAGACTTGACAATTTCCCTTTTAATCTCCTTGAGAAAATGAATTTGGTATCCATATTGGGATTGTGTTGAACATGTAGATTGCTTTGGGTAGGATTGTAATTATCACAATATTGAGTCTTCCTATCCATGAACAGGGCATGTATTCCCGTTTCTTTGGGTCTCTTATTGTGTCTTGCAGAAATGTTCTGTAGTTTTCTTTGTATCGGTCTTTGATATCTCTAGTTAGGTTCACTCCCAAGTATCTCTATTTGTGATTGGCTATTGTAAATGGTTGAAAGCAAGAGTGGCATCCACTTCCTAAACAACATGCCTCCAGAAACTCTATGAACTTTGATAAATGTTAATAGTTGTAGAGGGGCTTCAGGCCTTTTGTTCATAGGGTCACTATGAATCGTGCTCAACTTGAAGGCAACAACAACAACATTGTAAGTGGTATTGCTTTCTTGGTTTCCTTCTCTGAGTTCTCTTTGTTACTTTAGAGAAATCTCACTGATTTTTGGATATTGATCTTATATCTTGCCACTCTACTAAACTGGTCTACTAGTTCTAACATGTTGCAAGGAGGGACTGGTCCTTGGAGAGAGACATCATGTTTGGCAGAGTGGAGGGGCAGCGAAGGAGAGGAAGACCTTCAATGAGATGGATCGATTCTGTGACTGGAGTGGT